TTTGGACTTTGTATACGTAGATATTGAATTGTTAAATTTGGTTTTGAATGTAAATTGTTAGATGGCTATGAAATACATAAAATACTATAGTATTGATTATAATTTTATATGTAAGTTTTACACTATAGAAACTTGTACATTTGTTATATAAAATACATTTATATTGTACATTAATATACAGTGACATCTCCATACAGTATACAGTTATTGAAATTGAGAACTACTAGCTTTCCGCCCGCAGCTTCGCCCGCGTGGAGTTCGATTATATCGCGTTTCCAAGAGAACCTTTCAAAAGTCTGGGATAAAAACTATCCTATGTTCTTTCTCGAGGTCAACTCTATGTCTGTACCAAATTTCATTAAAATCAGTTCAGTAGTTTAGGCGTGAAAGAGTAACAGACAGACAGACAGACAGAGTTACTTTCGCTTTTATAATATTATTAGTAGGGATTTTCTATAAGCACTATGTTTTGTACATAAGAACTTTTACGTAATAAATTATAGACGAAACCGCGTACAACAACTATGCGTAAACAAAATGGATGTATGCTTGTTTTTTTGGAGGAATCTTTATTTAATTTTTGAGTTCAGTTAAGAATTCGGCGATAAGCTTATCGTACGGCTTTCGAACCGGCCTGTTTGTGTTTTTATTTCGATAAAAAGTTTAAATTTTTACATCAAACATCGAAGCCACTGTTTACCGAGTTGGGTAATGATTGTCAAACGTAATTTGGCCCCCGAAAAATAAATAATACGACGGAATCCCGATAAATGATAATATTCTATTAGCAGCAAGAATAGATACACTTCTTATAAAGGATGTTTGTCGCTCTTCCACCCAAAAACTACCAAACAGATTTTAATGAAACTCTGCAGTAATGTAGTTTAAATATAAGAAAAAGACATAGGATATGATATGTACCAGAAATCCCTGTAATCACTCCAGGATGAAGCCATAAAATTTGTATTGCCTAAGTCACGTGTCACATGGTAGATGGTTACCATAGCTTTTCTTTAAATGTATATTCCTTTTAAGCCTAATTCTGAAATAAATTTTTCCGAATCATATGTACTATCTAAGACTATTTAGACATCACTGATTAATGTTGATTCCCAAAAGAGGGTTGATGTCAGGCAGGCGGCCGGTCGTAAAAACAAATAGCCAAAAACTATTCACAACATGTAAGGCAGACCCTGGCTGAAGCTGGGAAATTGCCAGGTAGAAGAAGAATGTTACTGACTGAATACAATAATTTTTTACACAACCAACTCATCTTATAAATATTTGCTTTCCAATCATTACTCACTTTCAAACATTATATATGAAAAATATCACTTAGAACACTTGAAAAATTATTGCTTTTGTTATATACGGAAGAGAATTAAAGACTAAATTATATTAAATAATTTATACTTTGGTTAAGACGATCTAATTAAAAGGAATAGTTCCCAGGTTCGAATCCCGGACAACCCATGATGGGCACATAGTTCTGGTCTGTGAAAGAACTTATATTACTCACCATTCTATAATATGGAGTGGCGTGTTATACTCTAATATGGTTTTATTTCTCATATATTAAATAACTAAGTTTCCGCAGCATCGCCCGCGTGTAGTTCTGTTATATCGCGTTTCCAAGAGAACTTTTCAAAAGTCTTTGATAAAAACTATCCTATGTTCTTTCTCAAGGTCAACTCTATATCTGTACTAAATTTCATTAAAATCAGTTCAGTGGTGTAGGCATGAAAGCGTAACATACATACAGACAGAGTTACTTTCGCATTTATAATATTAGTAGGGATTAATATAAAAAAAAATATTACGTCAGCTGTATATTGGTGAAAGTTTGTGAGATAAGATGTAACAAACAGACGGATATGCAAACAAAAAATACATGTATGTTTTAGTATATGTACGGTGCGTCTAATTTGGTAAAATGCTGTTAGTGCAATATTATAAACATTATATGTATACAATATATAAAAGAAAGTCGTGTTAGTTACACTATTTATAACACAAGAACGGCTGTATGGATATGGATGAAAATTGGTGGAGAGATAGATTAGAACATAGAAAGGACATAGGATACTTTACATACGATAGAAAAAGAACAAAAATAATTTGATCAAATCCAAAATCTTAAGTCTTTAAAGAAGAATAGAGTTCGCCCGGTCAGCTATACATTTCTAATTATGAAATTAACGCAGACGAAGTCGCGGGCAAAAACTAGTATATATACATATGTGTATATATTTGAAGTAGCTCCTAACGATGTCTCTATAACATGCATATACGTTCAGAAGTATAATTACCACAAGTTTGTACTTCACACTAAATACTGACTATCTCCCGTTTTTCAATAATAATTAATCTACGATAATACTGTAAATTGCGAAATATATTTACGTGTCACGTACGCGCTACATATTAAGAAATAAATGAACATCGCCGGGCGACATCGTTGTATGGATAAAATATATAACTCTTGACGCCGCTGACTCCGCGGAACGAACACCAAGCGTGTGAACCAGAAGATTCCTGATACACACAAGCTATGGAATGGTATTGCTATCCTAACATCGGGTCAATCATGTAGTCTTAGGTGTAGGTTATAAGTTTTAATATGTAATTCTCATTATAATATACATATAAGTAATTTTCGTAGTTTTCCAGGAACTTATCTTATATATTATGCCTCTCTTTGAGCTATATTATAGTACAGTTTTATCCAAATTTGTTCAGAAGTTTTTCGATGAAAGACCAAAGGAACGTCTATAGCATTCTCAAAGATTTTTTTTATTATTTTCCATACATATGTCAGTTTACATTGTCACTGTTGAAGTGAAATATTTTTTACAAAAATGTATATAGGTATGTATATTGTTTCATTCAGAAATGCTCGAAAGAGAGAACGCTTGTGTTATTTCTTCTCGATTTTCATTTAATCTGATTAAAATTTATCTTAAAATTCTTTTATTTTGTTTTACATATAATATATTACAATATTTAGTGACTTTTTTTTTGGTTGAGATTATTGTACGTCGTCGTATCAGAGATTTTTGTCTGTGTTATTTTGAAGGGGTAAGTTAGTTAAAATTTTTATAATTTATGCACTAGCTAAATAAATAAATCTATATAAGATACGTGTAACTTCACCATTACATCAGTGATGCAATTTAGTTCTTTCAAAACCGGTTCAGTCTTTTCAGAGTTACGTGGTAACAAAGAGACAGTTTGAAAAAAATATTTTCTTATATATATATTCGGTATATAACGAAGGTTAAGTAAGAAGAAATTATTATTATTTACAAAAAGATAATCCTATATATATTTTCTTCTACCTGGCAATTTCCCAGCTTTAGCCAGGGTCTCCCTTACATGTTGAAAATAGTTTTGGCTAATCGTTTTTACGACCGGCCGCCTGCCTGACATCAACCCTCTTTGGGAATACATTAATCAGTGATGTCTAAATACTCTTAGAAAGTACATATGACTCGGAAAAATCACATTGGTACTTGCCCGGGTCAGGATCGAACCTTTTAACCACTAGGCCACCACTGAATATTATTATGTATTATTATTTCATATCAATTCAAAATATGTACATATAAGAATTTTATATATGTTACTCTTCTTCTTCCTGGCGATTTCCCAGCTTTAGCCAGAGTCTGTATATTTATATATGTTACACATATAAAATTAATTATAAACTCCAATAACTAATAAATGGTATATGTATTAAAAAAGTTATTAATATCATAAAATAACTTCGTATGTTCGCAATTTTTTAAATTATTATGACAACGCTGCCTGACCCATTTAAAGCGGGAATTGATTAAAATATTCTACAGTGATATGGATTGGAAACTGATTAAATTTTGTGATAGTTGATGCCCGCGGCTTCGTCTGCATTTTTAGGCGAAAACTTTATAGTAAGTGCTTATAGGTATAGTAATATTGTTTATATCAGTTCTATGTTAGTAAAGTGTGTAAGGAAAGCTTATTTCTTTAATTAAATCCAATAAATTACTTATGTTGTATTTACATGAAAGCCAGTGGTGGCCTAGTGGTTAAAGAGCCCGCCTCTCGTGCACGAGGGCGCGGGTTCGATCCAGGCAAGTGCCAATGTGATTGTTCAGAGTCATATGTACTCTCTAAGAGTATTTAGACATCACTGACAGATGAAGGAAAACATCGTGAGGAAACCTGGACTTATTCAAATTATAAGTTTGAAATCACCAACCCGTCTTGAGCGAGCGTGGTGATTAATGCTCAAACCTTCTCCATGTGAGAAGAGGCCTTTGCTCAGCTGTAGGCTCTGATAGGCTGATGATGATATTATATTTTTTTATTTAAAAGAAGTAAATTCATTTTGTTAAGTACTATATATATACATAGATATAGGAAATCTATATTCGATTTGTACTACCGAAAGTGGATTTCATTTTATGTCTACATCTTAAATGCTTAAAAGTATTTAATAATTACTTCATACATTCTAAATATGACTATTTGTTATATTATAACTGACTTTACCCCGTAACTCCACTCGTTAAAACGTAATTCTTTTATCTATCAAGTCTATATTTATATGCATTAGTATGTAAGCCTATAAATTGTGATATTTTTTTTAAATTAAAATATTAAAAATTGGGATAAAATGTTTTTACAAATTAAATTGCGAAACTGTTTTAGTCATGGTAATTTTATCAAAATACCTTTATTCGATCCTAATATTACAAAGCCAAATATAATTATCTTTCATATTGTAAAGATTACGAAACCTCATTATTTTGAGAAACTATAGTTGATTGAATCACAAAGTTTAACAGCATCCTTTGAAAGTTCTATCAAAATCTGCTCATCCTATCCTAAGATTACAAATAAGTTCAGTGCTTAAATTTATTATATTTGTATATTTCTATAGCATTTTTTTTTTGTTTTCAGGTAATTTTAACCACCGAAGCACATTCCTAAAAGAAGAATCCTAGTATTGTATTAAAATGGTGCCTCAACAGTACTGTCTGAGGTGGAAGCATCATCACTCTAACGTGCAGAGCATGTTCTCTCAACTCTTGGAGAAAGGTGAGTGCACCAAATTATTCCTCATAGGTTTCTCTGGTTTATGAGCTATTGATATACAAAAACTCATCGAAATCGATTTAGAATAGCTGTGGTCAAGTTACTACAGCTCGAACATGGGCTGGCTCGACCGGGGAAGTACCACCCTCTCACAGAAGATCGGCGTGAAGTAGTCTTTAATGGCTGCGTTTCGTCCGATGAGTGAGAGAGTCGGTTTCCCTTTCTATATTCCCACCTTTTCTTGACATTTCCTTATTCCCAACTCTCCCTATACCTAAAAATCCAAGGTAGCTATTGCCGACCAAGCCGTCTGCTCGTTTGCCACCTTAAACATAAAAAAGTAGTTTTCTTATAAGTAACTAGATTTTTTGGCTTGTTTGATTGGGAAAAAACTGATAATTTTTATATTTATAAATATTATATACATATTGTTACCGAAGCAGGAAATGTCGTTTTCTAAATAAAAAAAATATGACGTAAAAAAATCTCAAACGCGGAACCTGTATCGACCTTCAAAAACCTTTGAGATTTGACATTCTAAATTTTTTTAATCGTCCACTAATCCATATATTATCCCCTAATCTTGATGCCCAAAGGTCAAAGGTCAGGCTGATATGACGACATTGACATTTTGGATTATACATATATTTAAAATTAGTTACATAAATAGATTTTTTTATCGATCACATAACATCGAAAGCATTTTTGTACAGAAGATTTTTTGAGAATGATTCGAACAGTTGACGCGTATTTTATTATTATTTATCACTAGCTTCCCGCCCGCAGCTTCACCCGCGTGGAGTTCGGTTATATCGCGTTTCCAAGAGAACCTTTCAAAAGTCTGCGATAAAAACTATCCTATGTTGTTTCTCAAGGTCAACTCTATCTCTGTACCAAATTTCATTAAAATCAGTTCAATGGTTTAGGCGTGAAAGCGTAACAGATAGACAGACAGACAGAGTTACTTTCGCATTTATTATATTAGTAGGGATGCTATTTTAAGGACTTAAGACATAAAGTACTCAAAAATTACACCATATATTTAAAGAATGTTACCCAGATAAAGAATAAATAAATCCCAAGCCACAGTAAAAAAGTTTTTAGTTAATGGTCTATTATGCGTACTCCAAGTTTTAGTCGTCACATACGAAGGATTTATACTATAATATGAATTACGACTGAATAGGCAGACCCTGGCTAAAGCTGGGAAATTGCCAGGAAGAGGAAGAAGAAGATGAATTACGACTGAAAAACTGTTAGTTTCGTATGTCGTCACGATGGAAAATAATAGTAGTACTACATACATAATATTATTTATACCAAACGAACTTTTGTGGTTATAGCATTTTTTCTGGTCTAATATCTGGTACGTATTTAGTGAGACCGTGAACTACTAGTAGTCTGTGATGGTCTGAGCCAGTGGTTGCCACCGTAGGGTTTTCTCAGGGCTTAGCAAAGGCTTGGAACAGTTGACTACGTCTATGTTTAATTCGAATTATTGTTTGGGTGTTTTCAAGAAGAATAAATAGACAATTACTGATATAGTAAGTTCACCATCTACATTTCCATCTACCAACGTTTGGGACATCAGCCAAGCACTGTTTAATCGAAGTTAAATACAATATATTTACATTACTCTTACCATACTTCATAGGGAAATTCCTTTCATAAATCTGCATACATTAACAACGTAGATTTGTATAAAGAGATATAATACTTTTACGAGTATTCATTTAAATGAAACTAATATTTTTCGGATTATTCTACACTTATTATTTTTACAAACTACATACTCCCGAAGTTTCGGTTACTTTTCAGCAACCGTGATCACGGGCAGACGAGATGTGAACTAACGTCGGGATTATGTAGTTTTGTTAAATAATAAAGTAAGATTAAATTAAATGAAACTAATATTTTCGGATTTACAACGCGTTTTTTTTATTTTTGACTATAAACTACATACTCTCGTAAAACCGCGTATTTAATCCGAAAATATTAGTTTCATTTAAATGAGTACTCGCGAAAATCTTAGATCTCATTAATCGTAGTATAATTCGAAAATATTAGTTTCATTTAAATCTAGTTTTGTGTGATTATGAAAATTTGTGGTAATAGTAATCGTTATGAAATTAACTAATTAAACAGCCAATAAATTTGCCTTATCATATGAGATCAGACATTCGACCAATCTATGTTAATACAAGATGCTGTGACAAGACACTATCGTATTTATAATGTAAATTAGATTTACTCCAAAAAAATAAGCCTCAGTAATAAACCGGTTTCAATGGTTCAAAAATCAATATAATATATGTATATATAATCTTTCTGTTGGTTTTATTATATCATAAATAAGGATTTAAAAACTAAGACTTTTATTTAATAATTTTTTGCTTAAAAGTCCTAAAGTGATGGCCTAGTGGTTAAAAATATCGTGAGGAAACCTGGACTTATAACTTTAAAATTATAAGTTTGAAATCACCAACCCGTCTTGAGCAAGCGTGGTGATTAATGCTCAAACCTTCTCCATGTGAGAAGAGGCCTTTGCTCAGCAGTGGGCTCTAATAGGCTGATGATGAGGACTGTTAGGACTTTATTCGTCTTTACCATAATTTTACTAGCGTTGTTTGTATCCGTTAGTTATCTCTAACTCAGTGAGAGTCAGAAAATCTATATGGAATTAGGTACTTTGGTATCACGTCATAATTGTAAATATTTGAGTTTAAGCAATTAATTTGATGTCGGAACAAAATTTCTATGATACAGTTAGTAAGTAAACGACTAATAATTTATATTGTATGTATAAATGCATCATAATTTAATAAAAAACTAATGTACATGTATTTTTCTCGTACGCGAAATAACTGCTCATATATATAAAACAACGAATTTTCAGTACTAAGATTCCTAAGCTATGGGTATGAATAAAAGGGTTAAGATATTAGCATAAGTACATAGGACAGAAACGTAATTCCTTACATTTTCATGTGTTAAGAACAGAACTCATATTTGTTGAAGATGATTAAGATTATATGTTGTTTTCTTTTCAGAGCGTTTCTGTGACGTAACTCTGTACTGCTCGCCGAGTTTTGCAACGCAGGTCCCGAACAAAGACACCGTGGACCCGCAGAATATACGCGGGGTGTCCCTCAGGGCGCATAGGTGGGTACAATAATTCTTCTTCTCTTCTTCTACAATAATGTTTAATTAAAAAAAAGTCTAAATTTTTGTTAATATCAGCAATCTACCTGGCAATTTCCCAGCTTCAGCCAGTCTGCCTTACATGTTGTGAATAGTTTTGGCTAATTGTTTTTACGACCGGCCTGATATCAACCCTCTTTGGAATATGAAATGAAAACTCAAATAAATCGTATGGTATATGTAGAAGAAACTATTGTCATAATATGTGAGGAATTTCAAGGGAAGTATACCGCTTCACAACTTATAGGATTGACCAATATATCTTGAGCCATATCAACACAGCTTCTTCAAGTAATTTTAATGTGCGGTGCTATCAACTTTGTTTCAACAATAAATGGGTATAATTAATTATGATTTCGACGGTCGGTGGATGCAATGAAACCAAAATTATTTGACTTAATTTAATTAAAAGTAAGTTACAACTAGGTTGTGACTATGTTGCACGAAGGTTGAACAAATAGTGACATTAATTTAATCAAATTCTTAAAAGAAATCTTATAATCTACAAACATAAAAGAAATATAAAACCAAAAACTGTCTTCACACGGAACTGCTGAGTCGGACCCGTGTAGAATAGCCGAGTTTACCCAGAAGCTAAGGCGTCCTCTGATTACACCGTATAAAGATGATTAAATTTTAGTTAAACGACCACTTATTACACTGTCACATAACAAATTTCAATATTTAAATGTTTATAAACTAAAAGCGTCATGTTTTTAAATGCATGCACCAATTATTCAGGTGATGCGAAAATAGCAAGCCCTGTTGATAAGTAGATTGTAGTATAATTAATTTTGTGATAGCGGAATTATTGTATGGGGAATGAGACATCTGGATCAGTTTGATTTTCGCAGCTCAATTATTCAGGGACTGGGAATATACAGGGTGACTGGTGAATTACTATCGATACTTGAGGACGTGATATTTGACGATCATATATGACAAAATAAAAATTAATATTACATAAATATTAATAAAGTTCTAAGTAAAGTTAACCAAAAGTTATGTAATTAATTACGCATCGTGTGAACATCCTACAGATTAGGTATACACACACACACACGCGTGCGGCGGCGTGGTGTTGTATCAGCACGCCGCCGCACGCGTCCACACTTGGAACACTTGGAACGTGTCCACACTTTATTTATTTATACGGAAATTTGGTCAAAAATTAAGTACCCATTTTTTTTACATAATTCGAATGAGAATCATGTACCGAGTATTCTCCTTAAATATTGATAGTAATTCACCAGTCACCCTGTATAATGGGACTGCTGTTATAAGGATTATGAAAGCCACTAGCCATCCAAAAGCCAGCAATTTTAACCATCCACCTAGTGTCTTTTACCGCTTTCAATCTAAAAATAAATCGTTCATTAGATCAATTAAAAACGGTTCAATAAATACATTCATCCAAAAAAATACACTTCAAGGACCATCCTATGAATAACATATCAATTAATACTTAATTAAATCAATATATTTTTTGTTTATATCTAAAACCGTGGGAAAAGGATTTTGTTTTTATTTATATATATATTTTTTTAAATGTCTCTTTTAAATAATAATCATTAGAAAAAAATATATGCTTATATATTTATATATGTATACCATTAAAACATATTTTTCTTTTATTATATGTATATTTTTTTTGTGTATCTTGGTAGCTATTTTTATGGTTGTTTTTTAAATCGATAGCTTTTATCTTTTTCTTCAAATCTTCGATTTGGTATTTTTTTCTGATGCTCGTATTTTTTGTAGGTTTAATATGGTCTAATTGCTTTTTTGGCTTTTGTATGTAATGGAAAAAAGTGAATTATTACGGAACTAAATTGACTTCTTGTGAAATTATTTGGCAAAAATATAACATTTTGAATATATATGTATATATTGTAATATTATCTACATGGTCAATATTAAATTCATCTAATTATAATTGCTTGAGACATCCAATGTGACAAATTATCATGTCGTATAAAACTAGTCATTTCTATTACAAGTCGTTATAACGAACCATTTAAATATATTATATATAATATATTCATCCTCTGTTTACATATATATCTTATATATAAAATTCTCTGAAACGGCTTGACCGATTTTGATGAAATTTTGTGAGCATATGGACTAGGTCTGAGAATCGGACAACATCTATATTTCATACCCCTAAGTCATAAGGGTTGTTCAACTTTAATTATTTTTTTTCGGACGAAATTTCTACTTACAACGTAACTAAGATTTTAGCACACAAACGAACATACATACAACATAACCAAGTGGTTGGTTTTGACCAATACCACCAGTAATGGCCGTTTTCATATATCTTCTATGGCATATATTTTATCATACGGCGTTTTTTTAATCGTTTTAGAAACGCTAGTATGTACGCACCCTAAAATCGCCACATTTCTCAATGGAATTTTGACAACAGGTTTGGATATATCTTTTCTTCTTTTATAGATTTTCTTTAAAGATAAACATAAATTTATCTTTTCTTCTTTTCTGGATTTTCATTAAAGACTAGTTTTTGCCCGCGACTTCGTCCGCGTTAGTTTGGTCAAGAGTAATATATGTAGGTATAGCTGACCAGTCAAACTCTATTCTGTCTTACAGGCCATAAATAATCAGGTTTTTCCTGTTTCAATCAAACAGAATTGACATATTAGTTAGTTGTCAAATCTAATGTCAAAAAAAACGTTTGTATGGGAAATAGAAAAGGGCTGTTTTTAGGGTTTTCCCGGCAATTATTCCAAGTTTTCTCACCTTTTAAACCTTCCCTGGACTTTCAGGAGTATTTCAAGACTAAAATTAGCCAAATCGGTTCAGCCGTTCTCGTGTTTTAGCGAGACTAAGGAACAGCAATCCATTTTTATATATATAGAAGACTAGAAAACCTGGCGAACTTTGTATCGCCCTATAATCAAGAAATATCTATTACGTTTTTTAATTTATATTTTTGGAGTTTACCTGTAAGCCATAAATCTCTGTGTTTTGAAGTGCGACAGAATGATTGACATATTAGTTGTCAAATCTAATGTCAAAAAACCGTTTGTATGGGAAATAAAGAAGCGCTGTTTTTATGGTTTTCCCAGTAGTGAATCAATTTTTTTCAGCTTTTATACCTTCCCTGAACCTCCACGAACATTTCAAGACTAAGATAAGATAAATCCGTTCAGCTGTTCTCGAGTTTTAGCGAGACTAACGAACAGCAATCCATTTTTATATATATAGAAGATAACTTAAAATATCTGATTGTGGAAACGAATCTTTGTAAAATAGTAACGCTATAAATTTTTTGACGTAATTAATTGAATTTTAAAGCTATTTTAAAACTTCGACATATTTCATGAATATTCATGGAGTTTTAAATATTTTTTTATGTTTATAATTTAAATTCTCATTCAAATATATAGTACTATGGTTGTTATAATTAAATTAACTAATTAACAGCTGATAAGGAAGTATTATGTACTAGCTTTGACGGCGAATTTGTCCGTTTTCCATTTATATTTATGAAAATGTATTCCCAAAAATGGTTGATGTCAGGCGGCCAGTCGTAAAAAACAATTAGCCAAAACTATACGTGTAAGACAGACCCTGGCTAAAGCTAGGAAATTGCCAGGTAGAAGAAAAAGATAAAATTAAGAGTAAAATAAGTTATTTCTTATGGCATAAGTTATCTGTCAATTGAAATCCGGATAAAGTAGGTCGTAGTAGGTTTTTGAGGTAAGTCGAAACAAACAGTCAGATAGACAAACAGATTTTATTATTAATAAAATATTTTTTTCGGATGTACTACGCGTTTTTTTAATTATTTTATATCTACATAGTCCACGGGGGCGGTTAGTTTTCATCAACCGTGATCACGGACAGACGAGATGTGAGTGTCTGTCAGTTGGTCTTGTAATTTGTCATTTATCAACAACGATTTCTTAATTTTCTCTAGTACCGCTCTGGATTTTTAAGAAGAGGATCCAAGGTGTTTGATAGGTTCCAGCCATCTTCTCTATTGAAATTGGGGTGTTTTTTAATTCCAATAGCCTCGCGAATTAACCTTGGTATATATCTGTCTTAACGAGCGAGGATATGTGGTTTATCAAATCTAATGTAATGGCCTGGTTTGTCCAATGCATGTTCGCACACTGCTGACTTCGACGCGCGCCTATTCCTGACGTCTGAAATATGTTCCTTAACCCTTGTACCGATGCTTCTCTTTGTCTGTCCGATGTATGACAAGCCACAGTCACAATCAAGTTTATATACACCCGCTTGTTGTAAAGGAATGTTACTCTTGATTGGTCTCAAGAATTGGCTCACTTTCTTGTGTGGTTTCTATATAGTTTTGATTGAAACCTTCTTCAAGATGTTGCCTATTCTGTCAGTAACTCCCTTTACATATGGTAGAATTGTAGGTTGTCGCTCAACTGTAGGTGGCTTCATCTGGTTCTTGCGATGCTGGCGAGGCACAGCGAAGTTGTTGATAGTCAGAGCATGTTTTACAAGCTTCAGCTTGGCTTCTAGGTGGTCAGCATCACAAAGATGTTGTGTTCTCTGTAATAAAGATTTGCCAAAAGTAGCTAACTGTACAGGGTGGTGGTGTGAGTTACCATTGAGATAACTATCCGTATATGTGGGTTTCCTATAAATAATATGTCTCAAAGTATTGTCAGGATTCCTTGTAACAAATTTATCAAGGAAAGTTAAAAAATTATTTGCCTCTAATTCTATAGTAAACTGATTCTTGCTGTTGATAGAATTGAGATAGTTTAGAAAAGTATGTTTTCTTTTTAACACGCTTATATTAGCTTGGGCTGTATGTATGTATGTAACGGAATCTTTGAGCACTATTTTCACAGGTTTCTAAACATCTGATTAACTTTAAACTTTGCATATGTCTCAAGGACCAATGTTAATATAATAATTCGTTAACAATTTCTCATTATCCTTGTTGGGGTCGCCAGTATTAATATATTCTTTTCATAGATCCTCTATGAGAGTGAAAGGGACAGAGCTAGTGTGCGATCTACCCATGTCCACAAAAAACTAATTGATAAATAATAATAAATAAATTTTAGTCACAAGAGTGTTTTTTAAACTAATATGAATTATTTAATATTGTTAAGATTTCGTCTACATACTGTTTATAAATTAAAGATTTTCTTGTAGTAGAATAAAGTCGAGTGTATAAGCTAGTACAAGATATAATTTATTTCAATAAATTTTTAATTAAAACCCTCGAAAATACATTATACTTTATTTATGAGTTATTTTTATATATGTCCATATCTGTCCACGCCTATTATTAACTTATTAACATATATAATATGTGCTAAAGATATATTACCATAATATATATTATACACCTTAAGAGTCAGTGGTGGCCTAGTGGTTAAAAGGCCCGCCTCTCATGCACGAGGGCGCGGGTTCGATCCTGGCAAGTACCAATGTGATTTTTCCGAATCATATGTACTTTCTTAGAGTATATAGACATCACTGATTAATGTTGATTCCCAAAAGAGGGTTGGTGTCAGGCAGGCGGCCGGTCGTAAAAACAATTAGCCAAAACTATTCACAACATGTAAGGCAGACCCTGGCTAAAGCTGGGAAATTGCCAGATAGAAGAAGATATCACACACCTTACCATAAGTTTGACAACGAAACTATTATATTTTTCGTATATACTCTAGAACAGTGGTTACCAAACTTATTTTGTTTATTGACCATTTGTAAATCATTTATTTTTCAGCACCCCCATTACTTCTTCAAAATCCTCTAAGTTGTTCATACAAGTAAAATATATTGTACTGATTTTGACGAAACTTCCCAATATCGTAGGTCAGACATCAGAGTAGCGTATACTATATAATTTATTTCTTTTTTTCATGTAATTATGCATGAAAAATCTAGATAATGAAAAATAGATTCCGCTGACGGTTGGTTAACATATATATTAAATGAAGTACGTTATATGAAGTGAAGTACATATATATTATATGAAGTACATTCCTTTCTTAAAATCGATTACAAAACGACGAAGTCATAGACAAAAACACCATAGAAACTAAAAGCCTCTAATATAGAAGCTGAATGTCTCTTTATATTTATGTAATTACTAGCTGCGCCCCGCGGTGTTACCCGCGGATTTCCGGGATGTAAAGTAGCCTATGTGTTATTCCTGGACGTCAGCTTCGTGTATACAAAATTTCATCAAAATCCGTCCAGCCGTTTGAGCGTGAAGAAGTAACAAACACACACACACTCACAAACTTTCGCAATTATAATATTAGTAGGATTATTTGTAACAAATGTTTTGATATTTTCGTAGGGTTGTATTGGCGGCTTGTTCGGAACTACTTGGGGCTCTCTTGGGAGCTCACGAGGCGCACGGCGAGCCTGTTTTGGTGATAGATGGAGCTGAACCAAGACACCTTAGAGCGTTGCTGGACTATATGTATACTGGAGAGATGAACGTACACCATGTGAGTATACACACACACATACACACACACACACACGCGTACACTACCGACAAAAAGTTTGAAAGCACCTGTATTTTTTAGTAAAAACATATACCTAGCAAGTGAAATTTAACAAATTTTATCTATGTCGTAAAATATAACATCATGTTATTTAAAATTATTTTACTGCATTTAAAATAATCGTAATAGTCTTTTATATATTATACAAAAACAAAATTTTCATTTTTCACTATAAAATTTTGTGATTAACAAATAAGAATTTGATTTTATTTTGTAGTTTGATTGCTGTTTTATCAAGTACCTAATAATTCTCAATTAAAAAGTACATAAATCTGGGCTTATTTCTAAAATAGTTAAGAGAATAGTTTCCAAACTTTTTGTCGGTAGTGTACATATATAGTTACATCATCATCATCATCAGCCTATCAGAGTCCACTGCTGAGCTGCCTCCTCTCACATGGAGAAGGTACACTGACACACACACACATTACCTATATAATAAACAATAAATTTGTATCTAAATTAGATAGCAAATCAACGAAATCTTATCAAATTAAAGCGAAAAAAAATTGTAGAAATTTATGTTCACAAATTGGACTCGAACCTGTGCTTTGATAGATGTTACGTCGCGGGCTCTTTGCGAACTGAACTATCGCGTCATTGAACAATTATATGTATTTCAAGTGCAATTAAGTTAAATAAATGAATTCAAATTAATGTAGCTATTATAGAATAAAGAATTCATATACATAAGATGGATTTGAAGCTATTATTTACTTATCACTGTATTAGGTATATGATAAATTATAATCTAAATTAAACTAATATTATTCGGATTACAATAACTACAACTACAAACTCTAAACTACATACTCCCGACGTTTCGGTTACTTTTCAGCAACCGTGATCACGGGCAGACGAGATGTAGTATGGAAAAGTATGTAGTTTAAAAAAATACTCGTATTAACCCGAATAAAATTGGTAATTTAGTTAGAGAGAGGAGCTTGGACGGTGGAGGTGAGTGTTTAACGCGTTAGATAGGGTCCTTAAACCTACACCTGGGTCACAAGTCCCAGTCACTGTTGAAGCTCCTCTCACTACAACGATGGACCAGACACACGCACCGTGAATACATGGAATGATGAGAGGTTTTGCCACTGTTTTCATAAGTAAACCTCATATGTTCATATAAGTTTATAATTCGGGCTTTTGCGTTATAACGCAGTCCAAGTGAGGTCCTAAATTCGATTCCCGTTTGTGTTAATGACAATTTTCATTCATCATCACCAGTCCCAATTAGCTGGTCTCCTGAAGACAGCTGAGGATTTAAGGATCAAAGGTCTAACGGATATACGATGGAACAACAAGGACGAACCACCTGACTGTTCGACAGGTAATTGTTTAAAATTTAAATTTCAATGGTTTAAATTTAAATTTCATTAATACAAATTTAATTTAAATTTAAATTTCGTTAATACAAATTTAAATGCCATGATCGTTCGATAGTTTTCATATTGATTTTTATATATGCGTTTAAATTGCGTTTAAACTCAAAAAGTGGTGATTAGCATTGCTTATAATAATTTGTAATGTTTTTCTATATACAAACCTAAATAAGATTTTGATATAATAAATAGACTTTAATAGGATTAGATATTAGTAGTACAATTTGAGTGAAGCGACCTCATCGTTTCTATACAAAATATTTTTTTCTACATGGAATAATTTTCTGAAATTAATATTGATATTTTTAATCCTATCTAATTATTTTTCTATCAATATCCACTCCATATATTATGTCTATAGAACATAAACCTCTAGTCGATCGTACATTATGTTGTGGAGATCATCTCAATGGATGAATGACATGATTCACCAGTATAGGGATCAATTCGCTTCACCAAACAACTGAAATCTTCTATCTTCTCTTCTATATGTATAAAAGTGGATTTGTGTTCCTTAGTCTCGCTAAAACTCGAGAACAGCTGAACGGATTTATCTTATCTTAGTCTTGAAAAGTTCGTGGAGGTTCAGGGAAGGTATAAAAACTGAAAAAAATTGATTCATTACTGGGAAAACCATAAAAACAGCCCTTTTCTATTTCCCATGCAAACGGTTTTTTTGACATTAGATTTGACAACTACATAAGTAATATGTCAATCATTCTGTCGCACATCAAAACACGGAGATTTATGGCTTACAGGTAAACTCCAAAAATATAAATAAAAAAACGTAATAGATATTTCTTGAATATAGGGCGATACGAAGTTCGCCGGGTCTTCTAGTACTATCTAAAATTATTCTCATATTATGGTTATGTTAAAATTAATAATTATTTCTCATTAATCGCTAGTTCTATAAATACATATATATCTTACATTATATACATTAGGTGCTGTAACAACAGTTGTCGATAAGAAGACGGATGCTGAGAAGATTATAACTCAGGAGAAGAATCCTTACGATATTAAGATACAAGATGTTCGGAGTACCAACAAGAAGATTAAGAGGAGTGGGGAAATATCTGACATAGAAGTTAGAGATGATGATGACAAGGACAAAGACAAGTATAATTTAAATGGTGGGTAGTCATATACTAGCTTCTTTCTCAATAAAATACAAGAAAATTCAAATAAGAAGATTAAGATATTTCTAGAAAACTTATCTTGTGAACGGAACACCTTGTAAAATCATCGAAAAGATAATATAAATAACTAGCTTTCCGCCCGCAGCTTCGCCGGCTTGGAGTTCGGTTATATCGTGTTTCCAAATGAACCTTTCAAATATCTGTGATAAAAACTATCCTATGTTCTTTCTCAATGTCAACTCTATATCTGTATTAAATTTCATTAAAATCAGTTCATTAGTTTAGGCGTGAAAGCGTGACAAACAGATAGACAGAGTTACTGCCCATTTATAATATTAGTAGTGATAATATTAAATACTTAAATCCTATTAAAATTCTTAATATATATTTTTCATACCACCAGGCGGGCCACCACCTTTAATTAAACTACCCACAAAGGATAAAGTTAATCCAGTAAAGAGGGAACAGTCTGAACCGTAAGTTAACTTTTAGTTATTAACTCATTAAGTTATTAAATTAGTTACATATTAACTCTCATAGTTACTCATTTACTTGAAGAGCTCATTTAGTTACTCACATTTTTTTAGATAGAAAGATACAATTATTATTATTAATTTTTTAATATAAATAAAAAATATGTTAAAAAAGACTTGGATATAAAACATGAATTAAATATTATATTTTTCTTATATATTTTTTATTAAATATTATACATTTATATAATTATATTCTTTAAGATACAATACAAGTACCTATTAATTTTTTTAATATAATTAAAAAACATTGTAAAAAAAGAGTTGAGTATGAAAAATAAATTAAATATTTTGTTCTACTTACATTTATTTACATGTATGTATATATTTTTCTGATTCTCTAACATATATATATCTGGTGCATAAGCATGTATGTCCCATATTTCTCAACCAATCACCTCGTTTGTTCTTCTTCTGACACATCCAAATCGTTGAAACATCATAATAATCGGTCCATCCGTTTCATTCCAGTGAGAGCCCCAGCCCCAAACGACAGAGGGTCACAAGCTGTGCTGAGAACACAGATGAAGAAAATGCACAGATAAAGATAAAAACGTATGTAAAATAAGTATATATATACTAGCTGACCCGGCAAACGTTGTTTTGATATATAAAAAATAGGGGTTGGTGAAAAAAAAGTATAAAATTTGGGTTGTATGTATTTTTAATGCTACATTATAAAAAAAATTAAGGATGAACGACCCTTATGACTTAGGGCTATGAAAAATAAATGTTGTCAAATTCTAAGAGCTACTCAATATACTCACCAAATTTCATCAACATAGGTCAAGCCGATTCGTAGGAGTTCTCTGTCTAACACCGCGACACGAGAATTTTATATATATGTAAGATATATAGTCGGGGATAGTACAAATCAGTGTAACTAGCATTGTATAATTCCGCGTATATACATACATTGGAAGCAGATTAATAGAAGAAAGTTTGAGTTAAAATATTTTCTATAATAACGACTATTAAGGTATTTTTTTCACAATTGGTAATTATCTAGTGTTTGATTTATTACTATATTCTTTTTATCATGATGTGTGTGTTTATTCGTCAATATTGTAAAAATTATGTTTTAATTATTATTTATTATTGTATTTTGTTTTATAGGGAAAGGGAGCAAGAATGGCGGCATGGTAATCTGGTGAGTTTGTATTTTAATATTTACTGAATAAATTCAATATTTAATATAATTAAAATGTGAAAAACAGAATTAATATAAGAAATAAATATAATATATACCTTTTTGGTACATTAATAAGCATGTAAATGAAATTCACTGTGTAAGAAAAAATAAATAAATATGCATAAAAAAAGTGTTAATATTATACAATCTTAAATTAAAATGCGTAGTTTACCTTAAATTAACATTATTTTTTCCTTCATAAAAAGTATTCACATTTTAATTAAATAGGAAACGAAAACGTTATTAAAAGATCGGCTTGAAATAAATAATCACAACGCCATCTCTTGATTGAAATTAGAGTTATTTGGGACAACTTTTCGACGCTAGATGGCGCTGTTATTAATTTCCAGCAGCGATTCAAATACATATCCTCTTTTTTACATTGAAAAACAAAAGCCGTTTTCACATTTAAGACTATGTATATTAGATATTTATTTTATAAATAGATATGTATATATCAAATTGTACGAATTATATATAATGTAATAAACAAATATGTTTTAAATTAGTATGATTAATGTATTATGATTGTATTTCAGGATATAACGGCGGAGCGTGTGGTCGGTTGGGGCGGAGGCCTGGGGGCTGCGCCCTGGTCTAGAGACGGCAGTGATGAAGAATGGGACCCGCCCGCTGATATAGGATCCTTCTTACATACTAAACTGAGAGTAGATGGTGATAATAGTGCTGGTAAATATATTATACATATATATTTGTATATCAGTGGTGGCCTAGTGGTTAAAAGGCCCGCCTCTCATTCACGAGGGCGCAGGTTCGACCCTGGCAAGTACCAATGTGACTTCCGAGTCATATGTACTTTATAGAGTATTTAGAAATCACTGATTAATGCATTCCCAAAGAGGGTTGATGTAAGCAGGCGGCCGGTCGTAAAACAATTATCCAAAACTATACACAACATGTAAGGCAGACCCTGGCTAAAGCTGGGAAAATTGCCAGGAAGCAGAAGATATTTGTATATCGATGGGTCCTATGTATAAGGGCAAATATTACAATTTAGCTATTTTAATATTTTTTGCTTTAAACACTTCATAATATATTCTAAAACATCCATTAAAAACAAATGTGTATTTGTTGGTTTAAATACTTAGTTCTAATGCAGTCAAAAGGGAATAAATAACATAATTTTTAACATATAGATACATTGAAATTAAACTTAAAACGCCTCTACTGAAAAATTGTTAAAGTTTTTAACTTCAATCGAATTTCAACTGTAACGACTATCCACGACTGTCCATGTTAATGTTTACAACTATATACAACTATATACGACTATATACAACTACCCTCCTATATGTATACAGACGAGGAGTCAGACGGCAGCGCGTGCGCACCTCACGCTTCATCATCATCTTCTACAGCGAGCACGGCGCATATAGACTATGTTAAACGTACGTACGATATATATATATACTAGTTCTTTTCCGTGACTTTGTCTGCGTTAGTTTCAGAAATTGAAGTACGTGTATAAGCTAACCGGAAGAACTACTCCTCTTTAAACACAGTAGATAAGATTTTGTATTTGATCATTTTTTTTTCTTTTTCAATCGGATGAAAATTCCTAGATGTTTATAATTACATAGGTTTTACCCGCGACTTCGTCTGGGCTAGTTTCAGAATTAGAAATGTATATCTGACCGGACGAACTTTATTCCTTAGAAACAGTAGATAAGAAGATTTTGAATTTGATCAACTCATTTTCTTTTATTTTTCAATCGCATTAATAGTATTCTATGTTCTTTCTATGTTCTAATCTATCTCTCCACCAATTTTCATTCAAACCCGTACAATTCTTTAGTTATAAATAGTGTAACTAACACAACTTTCTATCATATATAAAGATTTATTTCTATTAATTTCATACATCCCTACTGAAATTATAAATTCGAAAGTAACTCTGTTTGTCTGTCTGTTACGCTTTCACGCCTAAACCACTGAACTGATTTTAATGAAATTTGGTACAGAGATGGAGTTGACCTTGAGAAAGAACATTGGATAGTTTTTATCCCAGACTTTTGGTTATATAGCGTTTCCAAGAAAAAATGCGATATAACCGAACTCCACGCGGGCGAAGCTGCGGGCGGAAAGCTAGTACTTACTATAAGTCCCTTCAACTTATCATTTTAAGTTCCTACGTCAATGTTATAATAATATATGTATATATTTTATTCCACAGCGAACAAAACAAGTAAACAAGACCCTCGCTTTACTGACGTGGTTAAATTGAACGACTACCTTCAACACGGCAGGAGACCACAATTCTGGGAAGAGAATTACGTAAAGAGGGTAGGTACAGAAACATCTTGTATGTTTGTTACTCATTAACACGGAAACTACTGTATCGATTATGATGAAACTTCACAGTAATATAGGTTATATATCAGAACAGGATATAGTATATAATGTATTCTTAACTCACTTTAAGTTACCTGGTTATATGATGTTACCTTCATGATGTATATTGTGTATCGAGTCACATTATAGACTGTAGATGGCGCTAGTGGGTTGACAATTCAATTGTTTCTTACATATATATATGAAGAGACGAGGTTAAACATGCGAATAGATTTGAGGCCCACCACGCTGTCCTAATATGGCATGACGGGTCACGTATTCTATTCTTTGATATAAATTCTCTAACAGCTGACTGACTGATACTACAAGTTTTCATTTAGACATTTGATCCTGGAACTATAATAAAATTAGATGAACAAATAGATGTCCACCCACCATTCCGTCCCAATATGGCATGGCGGGTAATGTTCTATTCTCTAACAGGTCATGGAGGCAGTTCGTCTCAAGGAATTGGAAATGAAGCAGGCGGCTGAGATCTTAGGAGTGAGCTACGGCACGCTGTACGGACGATATAGAGACGTATACGGCTGTATCAACAGGCCCTACAGGTATACACACACACACACACACATTCAGACATTAATTCAGAACTTATGGGTATAAATATAGGATGAATTCGATCACTCATTCACTGGTTCTTTCACTCAGCTAATGACTTATTCATTAATGATTACTCTTACTCTTACTTACTTACTAACTCCTTAATCATTAATGATTACATAATACAGTTATTCATTCACTCGTGAGCTCTTACATGTGTATATATGATTAATTCGTTCCTTCTCACACTCAATGATTTATTGAATCTTTAAAATCTTATTGATTACCTCATTAAATTATTCATTCAAACGCGTCCATATATAAAACTGCTTTAACCTTAAAAATGCAATTTTTTAACGATATTATCATAATTTAAAGACAGTAAATACATAAATTGTATATAAATATTTTTATAATGTTTTTTTATATATTACAGGACAGCTCGTGATGTGTGGCAGGCGAAGGGTCCGTCGGCTATAATGGAGCGTGTCCAGCGAGGTGACCTCTCGTTACAAACGGCCGCGTTGGCGTTAGGGGTCAACCCCGCTAACTTGGCTAGTTATGTGGCTGATGTGGCTGAGGGAGATAAAGGTACATACACACATATAATACTCTTCTTGTATATACCAACTTCCCAGATTTAGCCAGGGTCTGCCTTACATGTTGTGAATATTGACTAATTGTTTTTACCGGCCGCCGTAGACATCAACCTTCTTTGGGAATGCATTAATCAGTGATGTCTAAATACTCTTAGAAAGTACACATGACTGTACTATAATTATACATGTATTAACTAATTTTAGGACCCTACGGTTCCTTGGGAAACCAACATTCCTAAAGACCATGCCATCAAGGTCAATAAATATTACAAGCTCACAAACGAACTCGCTCGAAATAGGTTCGTAGTAGATTTGTACGCGGTAGAGGTGGGAGCGAGAGGTATAACAGCGAAATCTCTCTATAACCTACTAAAGGACTTGGGCCTGTCCAGAATTAACATTAATTCATTCTTGGAACGTACTTCGAAGGCAGCCCTAGTAGGTTCTTTTCAAATTTAGTTAGAGAGAGAAGCTTGGACGGTGGAGGTGAGCGTTTAACGCGTTAGATACATGTCCCTTAAACCTACACCTGGGTCGCATGTCCCAGTAACTGTTGAAGTTCCTCTCGCTACAACGATGGACCCGACACACGCACCGTGAATACATGGAATGATGAGAGGTTTCGTCTCGTAGTATAATATATAAAGCTGTATTTATTTTGATGTTGTTGATCGTATGTTACAGACTGGGAGGTGGAGTTGGATCCGGCTGTGAAGGTCTCGCGCTCCTTCACCGCTACCACTAACACTAAGACGAGGAAAATTGATAAGGTATACACAATGAGAGCTAAAATATTCGCGAATATTCATTTAAATGAAACTAATATTTTTCGGATATACTACATACGCGTTCTTTATTAATATAAAAAACTACATACTCCTGAAGTTTCTTTTACTTTATAGCAACCGTGATCATTAAGACGAGATGTGAATGAACGTCTCAAGTGCTAAAACGTCTCAAGTGCTATAACAAATTCCTTGATTAATTAACAGTAGTTTAGGAGTAAATAAGAAACATATACCGACAGGACATATTTATATATTTGATAAACAACACACATTATATTTTGTTAATAATTATTGTTAGTACAATATTACAAAGATGCTTCTGTGACGATTCTCGCATAAAATTTTTTTTTTTACTAAATTTATCTTGTTTTGTTAGCTTATATTTTTATTTAAAAAATACATATTATATAATATATATATATAAGGAGGATATATATAAGTAGAAATTATACGGATGTTTAAGTTTTTTACTCGATCATTATGTGGTAATTTAGTTTATTTTTAATAGTCTATGGAATAAACAATTCATGTATTTTTATTACATAATATGATAAGAGATTGTAAGTGACAACTTGTTAATATTATTATATATTCGTTCAAGGTCCCTGGAAAGAAGCTGAGCGGCGTGGCGGATGATGACTTAATACCAACGAACGTCACCCACGACGCCACAGCGGCACACTCTACCAGTTAGTATAATTGAGAAACAATACTAAAATTTATTCAAAATCGTGGTGGCCTAGTGGTTAAAAGGCCCGCCTCTCATACACGAGGGCGCGGGTTTGATCCTAGCAAGTACCAATGTGATGTTCCGAATCATATGTACTTTCTAAGAGTATACTAGAAAACAAAATAAAATAATAAAAATACTCTTTAAATATCCGTTATCTACAGTTATAATTTTTGAAGAAACGAAGATTTTGAATATTACTATTTATTATTGGAATTCCTGTATTCTAATAAGAAAAATTGTTAATATATCTGTACACACTAAATTGTCATTTATGAAACAAGTCAGTACGCGTAGCACCCGTCGACCTAGCTTACTAGTTCTCTCAAAGACTAGGACAAAACTTGCAAAAAAGCATATTACATCTGAGGGAGCACAACTTACAACAAATTACCGTCTACTATATGAATGCAAGCACAATTAACGAATTTAAATCTCAACTTTCACAACATATTTTAGAAAATAATTGTAATACCAACGATGTAACACACTTGTAATAATATCTTACTACCTTTAATTGAGTTCCAAATAATCTGGCGACTACTTTTGTATTTTCACTTTTGTATGTATGTTCCCATGTAAGTGACTATGTCTTTTTGAGAATACATTCTTTAAACCTTATTTAGACACCACTGACAGTTGAGGGAAAACATCGTGAGGAAATTTATAATTGTAAATTACAAGTTTGATATCATTACACCGTCTTGAGCAAGTGTGGTGATTAATGCTCAAACCTTCTCCATGTGAGAAAGAGGCCTCTCAGCGGTGGGCTCTGATAGGCTGATGATGCTGAATAAATACTACATACTTACTATTGTTTCAGATACAGGCAAGTGGCCGTCTATCCGCCTGGCGAGCCTCGAGTCCCTCAGGTCGCCCCCGTCGCCCCCCAGCGGGCCCCCCTCCCCCTGCGCGCCCTCTTCCCTGCCCCCCGCGGGCCCCCTCGCCGGGCCCCCCGCCTGCGTCTCTACGGGGGCCCCGGCAGGCCCCCCGCCGTCCCCCTCCCAGCTGATGAGGACCCGCCCCGACCTCACCATCGTCGCAGCTAGAAAAGACTCGTGACGTCACTGAACGGCGTCCCCACGCGGCCTCGCGATGACGTCACAGCGATGACGTCACCATCTCAGCCCGCGCTGGTTCTGTTATAAGTATGTATGTTTCTCGTTTAGCCCTTATACACACTCGAATCGACGCTCGTTAGTTGTCTGGACCAAAGATTCTTTGGTTTATATTCATCGAGGATCATGTATGTATAGTATAATCATGTGTATTTCCTCGTTGTTATTTTTCGTTTCGTCATGTATATACAATGAGTTGATATATATTTTTAACAAAGAATCTCTCGTTTAACATTTCTATAGCTATATTGTAAATATAAATGTGACACGTATTTTATAAAATAAAAAAAGTGTAATTACTATTTAGAATTAATTGAATCTTTGAAAAAAAAAAAAAATCTTTTTGATATAATTAATGTTAACGGAGACCAAATGAATTTTTTTTTTATTGTTTTTCTCTGAACTTGTTTATTATTTTAATTCTCTTGTTGTTCTTATGTACTGAGTGATTCCATGGATATATAATAAAATATATTATATATATATGTCAAGAAATATTGAGAGAAGCCGGTGTATTCTTCTATGTTAATGAAATGTGTTCCTCTAATCCGTTATGAATTTATAATTTAGTTCTCTAAGTATAATTTAGATGTAATTTTCATAATCATTTATAATTTTTCAATCAAAGGTCTTGTACCTATGTAGGTACATATGTATACAAAAAATACTCGCAGTTCATATTAATGGTATACAGAAATATTTTTTACTTTTATCATTATATAAATAATTTATGTAATAGTTTTAGACGTCGTACTGACTGTTTCAACGTCTATTAATCTCATATTAAGATACAATTGAAAAAAAAATACCCACCCAAAAAATTATAAGCCCTACTATAAGTGTTGTCCAAAAATCAAATTGGATGTTTTTTACCAAATTATTATTATTATATTATATAATTTATTTTGTTAATACATTAATTAATTTATTGATAGTTTATTTTGTAAATGAGAATACCTTTTTGATAATTTCAGTTCGTCCAAAGACCAAAATTATATATTCTCATTTTTATATGTAGTTACTGTTAGATGTTTTGTAACTCACTATTATAAGTTATATGGCGACCGGCGGTTTTGTTTACAATGTTATTTAATACTCCGCCCTTACCATCAGTTTGTGTTACCAGGCTACTCACAGTTTGGAGTAAAATACTGTCAGTATTCAGTTTGGTGATACCGACTCGTGCTAAGGACGATTTGTCAAATTTATTATTCAGAGTATGTTTTTCCTCCGTCTCTGCCTGTAATCTGTTAGACAAATAAAAATGATATAATCATAAAAAATAATTTTATTTCATCTTTTATTTATATAATTTGGTATGTATTTTATATAAACAGATCATTTTTAAATTTAAATTTCATGGTGAAAGCTTTTTATGTAATTTCGAAGGTGTGTATGTATATACTTTACATGAGAAATTAATTTTTTAACTTTCTCGCCTGTTTGTTTCGTCTAATCTCCGGAGTGGCTGGATCGATTTTGATGAAAGTTCCGCTCGCAGGTTGGTAATGTTATCATGAAGAACATAGACTACTTTTTAAACGACTTCAAATTGGAGGAAGTTTGTTTTGCTATTACTTCAAGTGAAGGCCGATTTAAACATTTATTTCTTTAATAATCAAAGTTTATTAAACCGAGACAGTTCCATTATCACCAAGTCAATTTCTGATGTATGAAACCTCATAAGGATGTAACACTTTACTCAAAGAAATTCTAATATATAGACAATCACGCAACAAATTTTTACATATATACATATAAAAATGACATTATTATATATAAAATTGTCAACAGCTTCTGTTCTATTACCACGAGTTTCCATCGCTAAACTAAATACAGTCAGTTTGTAGTGCAAACAGCCAACATTATCGTTTAACGAGGGCTTATCACACACATACATTTTCACCTTGGTCTACATCATTTCTCCTTTGTACCACTTGGCTATATACTCGCATTTCCTGATCTCTCTAGTCTCGAAGTATTCTGGGTATTGCGCCTTCTCCAATGGATGCCAATAATCCAAAACCCAATCCGGTGGCTCTACCACTCTCTTATAAGCAACTCCACCCGCTAAACCAATGCTCTTGGAAACTGGAAAAGATTATTCCTACTTAGAAGTCTTGTTGGAAACCTACAGAACAAAATACTGGAACTTATTTGTCATTTGTCACAAATTATGTGTTACTATGCAGTTACAATAACGAACTAACATTCTTAATTACTAGAGCTCTTTGTTTCAATCCAAATAATAAAATAAGAAGCCAGCACTAGGCTCTTCTATCTGTCTATTGTCATAATAATCACGAATTATGCATCACTATTTAAATGAATTTCATATTTTTCGGATATATACTACGCGTATTTTTGTAAAAAACTACATACTCCCGAAGTTTCGACTATTTTTCAGCAACTGTGATCACGGGCAGAGGAGATGTGTATATGCATTACTATTGTAAATATAACAAGGAATAATAAAAACAAGAACAAAATAACTATATTGAAGGAACCTCGTACAGAATTTATTGTTAATATTATTTAGTTAAACTTGATCGATTTATTTAAAGTTCCCCAATTACTTCTGTATGTATCGATATATAGTTTAGAGGTAAATATCAAATTTAACAGTTAGCGACGCGAACGGAATTGTTCAAAAGATTTTTGTATTCCGTTAAATTAATGAGATAATAAAATGAATTGAATTATTTTGGTTTAGTTTAATTGTGTTTAATACGGGTTATTATTAAAACATTACAAAATATAATGTGACTATCGATGAGGGTCTGTTAAAAGTAAATTTTGATTCCTAAGACAGTTGAAATGACTCTTAACTACTATATTTAGTTTGAAATAATGTTATGAATAATTTATTTATTTATATGGTAATCCAACAGTTTTTATACATATGTGTCTATATTAACAGAAAATCAAAACCAAAATAGGATTAGACACTTAAACATATTAATAACTAGAAGACGGTAGCATAAAAGTAAAACTTGTAATATAAAAGTATGTAATATAAAGGTATAACTGTTTACGGGGGAATCCAATAGGTGCGTGTTTGCATGATTGTGTGAGTGTGTGTGTCTGTGTGTGTGCATGTGTGCGTGTGAACAATTATAGCGTTTTAAAAAGCTAGTTTTGACATACTGAACAGATCAATTTCTGAATATTTTGAATTATATGTGTGGATCATGCGATTAAGGACAAAGTTGTGTGCATAGTTAGTTTAGCTCAGGCTTGTAGAATAGTGCTGTATGACGCGTGCGGCGATTAGGAACTCTTAAATACAAAGCGCTCAATAAATTGGTGCAATCCATATCTCCGGCAATTATTTCGTCTCATTTAGTCTCAGTTTTTAACCTACTTGAATAAATGAGGCTACCAATTCGTAAGTTTTTTTAGATTCTCCAAAACGTGAGCTACATTATGCTTAAGAGTTAAGATGAAGTTATCCTATTTTATGCTTACACTTGGCGATGGGTACCGGGTGTTTTGTGAGGAACAGCTCGTGCTCACCGACCCAGTACAGCCGACGCTGGTCTTTGGGATCAGACACACATTTGTTCGCATCGAAACGGGAACGAAGAATGACTTGATGGTAGCGTACCACGTTCCTTGAGAAAAAGGTTTTTTACAAAACAATTTATCATCTATTTGAGTCATGAATCTCGATTTACTGTGAATAAAATGAAATTCTAAAGCGTGAAATCACAGAACAATATGAAACTAGACATTAGACAATATGATTTAAATAGATAATTGAAGAAAGTGAGTGAAGAGTAGTTCTAATGACTAAAACTGACGAAAATAATTATATTACTAGATTTATTAAATCTAAATTTATCTTAACATATACAGTAATACCCCGCTTTACGCGAGGGATACGTTCCAAAGCAAATCGCGTTAACTGAAATTCGCGTATAGTGAGGTTTATGATTAAACACAGTCAAAATTTAATACACAAATATAAAAATCATTTTAATCAATCACTTTAATTCTAAGAACACTATATAATACACAGGTACACCTATTTTTTACGAAAAAAATACATGTATTGTCTTTTGGGTAGCGTTTTGTTTAAGTTCTTGTAAAATACTTTCATAACACCAAACACTGTTTTAGTCGTTTGACACACGTTCAAGACACGGTCATCATTATTATATATACTCTGCAATGTCCCAACCTGAATAATTTTTTGAAAATCGCGTTATAGTGAAACCGCGCAAAACGGGGTCGCTTTAAGCGGGGTATTACTGTATATTATATAGTATTCTGTGTGTGAAGTTTAAAATCTGATGCATATTCCCTATACGAAGTGATTTTGCCTTGCCTGACACTAAATCTAACTGCGTTTATTTAAATTTAAATAACCTTTGACCGTAGTAGGACTCAATCTGTCTCATAGCCTGTTTGTAAAGGTAGCAAACTTTCTGAGCGTGCGTCCTCAATTCCGGTGCGAAAGCCATTTCAACACGATTTTCTCTAATATTAATTGAAAAAAACCACTCAAAGAAACGTCAATATCTTAGCTGCCAGTGAACATAAAGATTTTTATTTAACTGGCCAATGTTAAATTTAAATTTAATTTTTTGCCATAATTTTAAATTAAATTAATGTTGAGCAGATTGCAAATAAATTTTCATAGAAGTGGTAAAACCTTGTTGATTGTTAATGGGCCCCGACATATTTTATATCTTTAAATGAGCATCTTTTGTACATAAATACATATATATTTGGAATCTCGGAATCAGTTTCAACTATTTTCGTGAAAAAAAGGCGTTTAAAATACGACTCTTCCTGACCTCTATTGGCGAATAGTGATACTACTTTATGCTTAATGCTTTTACTAATTGCTTTAACAGCACAACAGCAGATGGCGTTGTAAAGTTACAGGAAGAAAATGAGCGTGTTTTGTTGTGACTAAGAAATTAATTGTAGATTTATATTGTTTTGTGTCTTTTTAACGTGTTCTCTTAAAAATGAACAAACGAAATAAAAAAAATACAAAAATCAATACTAATAATTCCTAAATACAGAGCTCGGTGTCCAGATATTTTATTAATCAGCATCTATCTTTATATGTATATAATACTTCTGTGAGTGTGTATGTCAATGAACTTCTCTCAAACGACTGAACCGATTTTGATGAAATTTTTTGTGTGTGTCCAAGGAGATCTGGGAATGGTTTAGATTCACAATTTTGTCCGCTGTTTTTTTATTAATTTTTAATTTATTAGTAGTTGTTGATACAAACGTTTTTTTTTTTGACATTAGATTTGACAGCTAACTAATATGTCAATCATTCTGTCGCACTTCAAAACACGGAGATTTATGGCTTTAATAGGTAAACTCCAAAAATATAAATAAAAAGACGTAACAGATATTTCTTGATTATAGGGCGATACGAAGTTCGCCGGGTCTTCTAGTTTATATATACAATGTCGTTTTTTTAGTATTTGCACCAGCTATGGGCGTATTCATTAGTTGCTTTGGAATAGAAAGATTTGCTTCAAATAAACTCTTCATCTGTAGTGTCACTATGCAAACTAATGGTAAGCATAGAATGCTATAAACTCATTTCAATTGTATTGAATGTTTCTATAATGAATAATTCTATTGAATTTATCAAATCCTTATACATTTATTGTCGTTTAACGATTATATGGTCCCGTAATTTACACATAATCTTGTGATCTCAAGTCCAAAATGCTTAACATTTTAAGAAAAGTCCTGATACACTTATACTACTGGAACGATATTAATGAAACATTGCTGAGAACAACCAGAAGGAAATAGATTTGGAAAAGGAAAAGGCCACATCGAAATCGGTTAATACGTTTGTGAGCTTTAAAACAAATGAACTTTTGAGTTGATAGTTAATAAACTCCTATAAAATACTCCTATAAAAAGTTTAATATCTCATTCGCATAAAAAAATATCTATGTATATTGGTGCTAAATATAATATTTTAAATACAGCAATTATTTTTTCAATAATTATTTTGTGATAAGTCTAATTAAACATTAATAAGAATTTAAGTTTGAATCATTAATGTCACAAATTTTATCGGCCTAGTGCGAGCCGTAAGACGGTTAGACAAAATTTAAAAAACAAACACGTACAATCATGTTTCTTTTATAGAACCATTTTAATTTTAATGTTACCAAAGGCATTATCTTTAAGGTATTCAACTAATATATTACAATGCAGTGTAGTTAGAGATTTTTTTCGTTATGTTCGTTCCGTTCAGAACAGGCAAAGAGAACAAAGCCTATATAGCCATGTCTTTTGTATTTTATATCTTTAATTTTTTTTAATTATAAGGCCGAAGCCATATCTTTATTTAAAATATTTTTTTGGCAAATTCTTTCTTTTTTACATTCCGTCTTTTTTCAATGTCAAGTCCTTGTAATGTCATTTTTAGTACAATAATTAATTTGTCAAAATCGATATAACAGTCAAATTCTGAAAATAACCGAAATAGCTGGAAACAAATATCTTAAACAAAACGAACAAATTAGTATTATATACATATGTACAAATAACAATTAGATTTCATTTATAGTAGCAAACAATAAAGCCATAAACTGGCAAGAAGCATTCTTGAATGTTTAGTATTTGCTGAAGGGAGCGTGGGATATCTTCAGCAGTTTTAAAAATACTTAAAAGTTGGTCTACAAGGACCATCCTTTGAATACTAAACTGTGGACAATCAAAAAATATATTTTCGAGGGTTTCATCAGCACTATTGCAATATCTACAAGTTGAAGAGTCAAAAACACCAATCTTAAAAAGGTGAGCACCAAAACTACTATGTCCCAGACGCAAACGACAGATTGTGGTATAATACTTTCTATGGCTATAGTCACTACCCCGGGTAAACCAGGGGGAAGAGACCTTTTTCTTTATTGTAGTGAACCATTTTCCTTTTACCTTTACCACCTGATGCCATAAGTTGTAAAATTCGTTCTGTAACTTGAGTTTAAAGAGGGATAGAGCGTTTGAATAAGGAATTGGGAAATTTAAAAAGCTATGACTTAATTGATTGTGGGCCGGATTTGTAATAAATTTAGCTAAATAGTCTGCTTTCTCATTACCATGCACATTGCACAACAATGTGGGCTGGTGTCCAGAATAGGACTATTTGCTGGTTTTGAGACAGCAGGTGATACAACTCTCTTATTTTATATATAATATAGTTAGGTTTTGAATTTAATTGTGGATTTTGTTGTGCCGTTAATAAATTCAGCAGATTATATGCTTGTGAGTGGATTCAGCCTATGACCGAATCCACTTTTGACCTGACTACCATAGACAGCTATAGAGACTGCTTCATTGTTCCTAGACCCATCTGTATATATCTGATGATATCCCTGCCACCTATCAAGTTCCCTATAAATGTCTTCCTTATACTTTAGAAGACTTTTGACTACAATTTTAATCTAAATAAATTTTGATTCATATAACCCAAAGTAACAAGGCCATACCATGCTAGAAAATATATTATGTTTTTTTAAAAATTTATTCTGTTTCAGAAAAACCTTGAAACAAATATGAATTAATATTGGCAGTCCTGTTAATAGTGTTCCACAGTTTAGCAAGAAGTGGATGGTTACTAATGGAGAGAAACCTTGCAAAAAATTTTGATTGTAAGTATTTAAACCTAAGTGCTAATGGAGGTATATTACATTCCACAGTATGTATGTATGGAGTAGTTCGCATGGCACCCATTATAATACACAAACATTTGTTTTGTATCTTTTCTAATTTATCCACTATAGTTCTTACCCCTGCAAAACAAAAAAAAGCATATTCAAAATGACTCCTTACTAATGATTTATACAATGTTAATAGAATCCTTGGATCAGTACCCCAACATGTGCCTGTTAAAGATTTTAAAACATTACAAGCATTTAAAGCTCAAGATACTAAGGTTTCAGCATACTTATTCCATCTATAATTGTTTGTAAAAATAACACCTAAAACTTTACAGAGCTCTCTACAGACATTACATTATTATTGAACAAAATATTTACATTCCTATTTCTAATTCCATTTTTTGAAAAGACAACAACTTTACTTTTTTCATTGCTGACCTCCAGCCCAAGGCTATCAAAATAGTTCTCTAGTCGTTGGAGAGCAACATTGAGGACTGATTGTACATGTAAAAAATTAGTATCAGAGCAATAAACAACTAATCTGCAAACTGCAGATTAGAAACTTCACACCCCAGAGTTAAATTTAGCTGATGTATGAAAAGGATAAAAAGCAATGGGCTCAATACACCACCCTGTGATACATCCCTATAAGAATATCTTGGACCAAATAACTGATTGATGACCTTAACAAACACCTTTCTGTAGTTCAAAAAATTAAAAATACAATTTACAACTTTTCCAGGTACCTGTAGTAATAATAATATTGAGGATATTTTGTTCGGATCTACATTATTGAAAGCCCCTACAATGTCAAGAAAAACACCAACTAGTACTTTATTCTTGGAACGAGCATCGTGGATATCCAGACAGAAATGACGTAGACTCTCACAAGCAGCACGGCCACAACGAAAGCCAAACTGATTGTAAGGTAAACGATTATTACTTTCTATGTGAAAAATTAATCTCTGTTTTATTAATTGTTCAAAAATTTTTCCAACACATGAACTCAGTGTAATAGGAGGATAGGAATCAGCTAAATTAAAGTCTTTGCCAGGTTTTAATATTGGTACCAAACAGTCAGTTTTCCAATCCTCTGGGATAATAAAAGACGACCATAAACTATTTAATAAATTTAAAAAAAATAGATAGAGTTTGAACATTTAAAAGTTTAAACATTCTGTAGGAAAGCCAATCCAGGCCACATGAAGAATCTTTTCTTGAGGCTAAAGCAGAATTTAACTCTTGCATAGTAAAACAACCGATCATGTATGAATTATCACTATTTACTCCAAGAACATTATCTATACTTATCTGTTGTGAAACAGTATCCGGTGTGTATTTATATAAAAATGTTTGAACCCAATTGAGGTCAGAAAATAAGTTAGAACTCGGAAAGCTTTTTTTGAATTTTCTTATTTTAGTCCAAATGCGATTTATAGATGTCAAACGATTTATTGATGAACAGAATTCAGACCAACTTTTACAACATTCTTCTTTTAAAGTGCATTTTTTAAAGGCTTGTGCGCGTTTGAAATTAATGTAATTTTTACTATTAAGACTAGTTTAGAAATTAATGGAGGTGTTCTTGCAATCTTCTGCTACTTTTGAACATTTATCATTCCACCAAGGTACTTGGCACCTTTTTCTAGGACGGTATTATTACTATCAGTTGTATTATGGTTTAAGCTGGGCCCGGAGAATTTGATTGCCAATAGAATAATTGAACAAAACTTTCTGTATGAGTCAAGGAGATCACTATTGTCAACTTTAAAGCTCATTAATATTTTATTAACAAATTGTTCATAACT